AAATGAGTTTTATTGGGGTTCTGTAGAGGGCTTTTTTCTCTATGAAACTGTTTGTTCTTTAACTTTTACTTTTCTTGAGACTCAAATGATAAAAAGAATCATTTTTCTTTGACCTGCGTTTCATGGCAATTCAATGGGACATGACGTTTCTAGTTATTCATAAGCTGATCAACTCTTCTAACAGGAATCTGCTAAATCTGGGGCCAAAATATGCGGAGAGTGGATGGTTTTCAAAGACCAAGAAATTCAAAGTGCACCTGAAGCCTTCGGAACTACATGGTGCAGGGGTAGAAACTAGAAGTGTAAGGTGAAAAGGTTAAGAGACAACAACAGAAAGATGAAATGCATCTGGAGACAACAAGGATGCTGAAGTGAAGCTTTCGGATATACAGGATGTGGGGGTAAAAACTAGAAGTAGTAAGCTGAAAAGATTAAGATACAATAACGGAAATGAAAATGTAACTGCAGACAAGAAGGATGCTCAAGTGAAGATTTTGGCAATACAGGGTGCAGGGTTAAGAACTAGAAGTAGTAAGTTGAAAAGATTAAGAGCAAGTAATGGAATGAAAATGTATCTGGAGACGACAAGGTGCTCAGTGAAGCTTTCGAATATACAGGGTGCGAGGTAAAAACTAGAATGGTAAGATGATTAGATTAAGAGACAATAATGGAAATGAGAATGTGTCTCAGACAAGAAGGATGTTCAAGTGAAGCTTTCAGAAATACAGGGTGCAGGGGAAAAAACTAAATAGGGAGTGAAAAGATTAAGAGACAGTAACGGAAATGAAAATGTATCTGGAGATAACAAGGATGCTCAAGTGAAGCTTTCGGATACACTGGGTGCAGGGGTAAAAACTAGAAATGTAAGTTGAAAGATTAAGAGACAATAATGGAAATGAAATGTATCTGGAGACAAGGATACTCAAGTTAAGCTTTTGGAAATACGGTTGCAGGGGCAAAAACTAGAAGTAGTAAGTTAAAAGATTAAGAACAGTAATGGAATGAAATGTATCTGGAGCACAAAGGATGTTCAAGTGGAGCTTTCGGAAATACTGGGTCCAGGGGTGAAGACTAGAAGTAGAAAGCTGAAAACATTACAAGACGGTAATTGGAATGTAAATGTATCTGGATACAGCAAGGATGCTCAAGTAATCTTTCTGAAATGCAGGGTGCAGGAGTAAAAACTAGGAGGAGTAAGTTGAAAAGATTAAGAGACAACAAAGATGCTGATTCAGTTGCCCAGAAGAGCAGTCCTAAAAGTCATCAGAGATCTAAAGGGATAGAAAGTGATTCTCCAAGACCAAGTAATTCGATGGGACAAGCAAAGTACTCAAAAATAGAAGGCACAGGGATAGAAATTAGAAGTAGTAAGTTGAAAAGATTAAGAGACAACAAAGGAGGTGAAAATGTGTCGGGAGAGAACAATGATGCTACATCCAATACCCAGAAAAGTAATACTAAAAGATGTCAGAACCCCAAAGGAGCATCTAGGGGAAAAGAAGAGATTTTCCACAGGGATCATGGTGGTCGGTTAATCAGAATGAATTCTGATATGAAAACTCCAGAAAAATATTTTCAAGATTCTATCAATAACCATAGTGAAACTGAACTGAACAATTTGGATATTGATGATACTGTAGCAGAAAATAAGCCACTTACAGGGTCAGACGGTCATGAGAAGAAGAATATTGTGGAAGTGAAGAGGAAATTTTCCAACAAGGAAATCTCGTTGCCCTGTGGTATTATATTAAATAATGTAGCTTCAGTTGACATACCTGCTGAGGATGTTGGACATGCCTTTCAGTTCCTAGAATTTTGTCAAGCTTTTGGACAGGTAATATGACAAAGATTAAATTTGTATTAAATTACTATTGAGGTAGAAAGGCCTTGGCAGCTTGGCAAATGTGAATGCTGTAATTAGCTTTTAATTCTTTGTGCTTGCCATGTCAAAGTTGTGTATATTGTTGATGAAATTTTTTTGGCAGTAATAGTAGTATACTCAAGCTGTTTATTTATATGATCATCTTCCTTTTCTTAACCGTACTACTTGAATTCATGACTAGTGAAACTTGGCTTCTATTTTCTGGTTATATGGTTAAGTACCATTTTTCAATACCATTAGCTTATTTAAGAGATTCTACTGTTATTTAAGAGTCAAGTATCGGATCATATCTCCTGTGTCATATATTTTAATATTTTCAAGGACTTTAATTCAGTATAGCTGCATATGCTTGTGTTGCTCCATTCTTTTTATTGAGTGGGGCATATTTTTCTTCCTTCTCATTTATGTATAAAAGCTAGAAACAGTAGAGCTTTACCTATTGAATTGTGCATGTCATCTTCTAAGATGATTTTTTATATCTAGATTCTTAATCTGGGAAAAGGGTGGTCTGAACTGCTCCTCCGAGAATTAGTTTGTGGAAGAAGTAAGCGTCGGGTATGCAGTTCTCCAATTGCTCAGTTCCACATTCAGCTTCTGTCTCTGATACAAAAGAATTCTGGAAAAGGGTATGAATATTGTTTTAACTTCTTATTCAATTCCTTTTTGGTCTCTTTCAAATTGATTGACCATCAACACACAATTTTTTTTTGCAGATATCCTTACTTTCACTCACTAAGTGAAAATTCTTGGGTGCAAGTGCTTTTTAGATATGTATCTGAGTCTCATTTTTCCTTTAAGGAACTACAAGTGGATTGCTTTGAAGTGGCTGATTATGATCAATTAGATATCTCTAAGAAGCTGAAACTTTTAAATTTTCTCTGTGATGAAGCTCTCGGCACAACGTAAGTCATGATATGCTTCTACACATCCTTTTCATATTTATCTCTCTCCTTTATTGTATATTATATAATAATGAGTGAATTGATTCAAAACTTTTCCCTGCAGAGATTTTAGAAGTTGGATTGATGGACGAAATTCAAAATTTGTTCAAAGAGAGAAGAAACTGAAAGAAAAAGTTCTTGGTGAAGAGGAAAAGGTAATCTCGTTTCTTAAGAAGTACTCCTGTGAGCATCTGCTTAAATATTATGTCTCAATCTGCCTGTTCTGAACAAAATGTTTTCATAGATGAAAAATATGAAGAAGAATAAGAAGCTGCAGGACAAAATAGCCAAAGCTTGTCTCGTGAAAAATGGTGCTCCTCTTTCGATATCTGAGCACGCGGATCTTGTTTCAAAAATAAAGTTGAAAGCAGCTCAAACTCTATCAAGAACAGTGGAAGCATCGGAGGCAATGGTCAATGGTATGTTCTGGAGGCTTGACACACTGAAAAATTTGATTCCATAATAGTAGTAGGTTTTATGATATACTGGTTGTGATTAAACTAATATGTAAGTCTACCCATTTGCAAGATAGAATTTATAGAGTGAGAATTTTGATGTCTCAGTATTCGCTTATTTAAATTTTGGATGCAAGCATGACATTTTACTTTCAAATAGTGTCCAAAGAGGAGTTGAGATCAGATGCTCTTAGGTTGGAGCCTATGTTTCTGGATGGACATGGTCACAAATTTTGGAGACTGAGATGCTACTCCGCCAAGATGAAAATTCTTCTTCAAGGTACATCCTCACTTCTTGATCCAAAATTCAGAGGTTTTCACTTTAACAGGAAGTTTTGCCTTAATTTTTCTCCTCGAAGATGTAGAGATTGAAACGGGGGATCAGGTTGTGGCTAAGGAAAGATGGTATACCTATGATGTTGAACAGAAAGCTGTGGTTGAGAAATATGTTTCTGCCTTCAGGTATAAACAATATTTTGTGTTAAGTTGATTGACAGATTTTCATCTTTCTTATATTTGCGCATCCCTTGTCATTTGATTGCAGAGACATCGGAAAATGATTAACAAATCCATATATCCCTTGTATATATTGATGCTCCTCTCTATGAACTCATCTTATTTTGGAGAGCAACTGCTGGCTAATTTCTGATGGATAAATTCTTGTCCATTCTTTTGGTTCTGCCTCTTGTTGTACCTTCTTGAAGGGATACTTCTTGTAATGTTGGTCACTTACAAGATCAAGAACCTCAGGTTTCTTGATGTTGAAACAGATGTATATATGAAGACTTTCTATATTTGAATCACTCTTTAACAGTGCCAAGTTGCAAGAGTCATTTCATCATGATACTGGTACTTTTTCTTTATAATCATCTTATGAATGTCTCTAGTTTACTAGATTAATTGTACACGAAAATGCTGGACATCAATGTACTAGTTCACTTTTTAATCCATATTGTCATGAACTTAAATGAACCATGTGAAGTTGAATTTTATTTTATTTTATTTTATTTTATTTTTTTGCGACCGTGGATGTTTGAGCCAGTTTGTATGTGTTTCGACTAATCCTCTGGACCTTGAAGTTAACGATCGGGTAAACCCTCTAGTAGTCATCCCTAATAGCAACCGAAAGTAATACATTCAAGGCTTTTTGAGTAATACACTCAAGAATTTACTATTATTCTACTCGACCGCTTAAGGGTGGTTAGTAGTGACAATTGCTAAGACAGGTCTACAATATTTGTCAAACTTTCAAATGGGATTTAGTCTCCTATTTGTTTGGGTTAAGTTAAATGTGACAATACCAAGATATTATTTAAGAAAGAAGAATATTAGAGCCAATCTTCCTAACTACGAAGAAATCAATTTATCCAAGCCCAAATGGTCTAAATGATTTGGGAGTTTACATATGGTTAATAATAATATCTTAGAAATATATTGTTGGTTTGTATTTTCAAAAAGAAAATATAGTTCGATAATGCACAAGTATATCATTAATCACATACTGTATGTTACCAATTATTATTTCAAGTTGTCAAAGCATCCTTACATGCAATTTGTGTCAGTAACGTTACCGTAAAGAAATTAAAAGATGAGGAATTGCCTAAAACTTATATATTTATTTATTTTTTTTTTTTTTTTTTTTTGGTAAATTTTTATCTTTTTAAATATTATTTAAATATGAAATATAAGCCATTGAACAAGCGGGAAACCGGAAAGGGAGAGAGAGCGAGAGAGAATGGACGATTCAGGAGCGATTCTCAGCCATATTTCTTCCTTCAAGGACATGCTGGATCAGGTACTGCCATTCCTTACATAATTGTACAATTACTCTTTGCCGCAACTCGAATCGAAATCTAGGGCTTCCTTCACTGAAAATTTGAAACAATTTCACTTTTGCTAGATCAATGAAGAAATCGAAGCAAATTTTCAGATCACGGCAGAGATTGAATCTGAGATCGTTAAATGTGCGGAGATCGAAACTGCTTTGGCCCTTAAAGAATCCGAGTTGACCAAGATCCTTTTCATCTCTCAATTTGAAATCGTCGGATTACAGTCCGTTACTGGTAATTTTTCATGATATTCCTTTTTTTTATCACCTAAATATTTGAGAAAAATTTATGGTGATTTCGCAGCATTATTTAATATAATTCTAGAAGTTTCACTAAATTTGTGAAGAAGGTTTATGGAAAACTGTATTTAGTTGAATTATAGGAGCGATGTTTGATATTTGTTAGATCACTCATGCTACTTTACTTGGTTCAGTCGATAAATCAAGTATTTCGAATTTGGTTGTATAAGTTTAAGATTATGCTACAATTCATATTTTATTTTGAATTGATATTCAATGTTATAAGTATGATTTTACATGTCTGTGTTACTAAAACTCGTTAAGCGGAAATGGTAGGATTTTGTATAACTATAACTATAACATAACAACTTTCATTTTAATATTAGGTTTCCGATGAATTTTAGAAACCAATAGGGTCGGTATTTATTTTACTGAAAGTAGGAAGGCAAAATGAAGATTATCCGTGATGCTATGCAAATAACTTATGTACCAATGTATAAATTACTTGTCTTTGGAAGTTTACTGTGTTATTGCTTAAATGGTCATTGAATCATATTTATTTTAATACAACTTAACATATCTTTTTTATCCTGTAAGTATAGCTGATTCAAGGAAGTCAATGAAACATTTGGAGGAGGAATTAAGTAATTTAAGAACAAAGTGGGATGAGATGCTAAAAAGAATGAGCAACAAGCGGTATTGTCAACTATCTTTGTTTAAGTAAAACATTAATAATCAGCTCTGGTTCATATATTGTGCGGAATATCTCATTGCTAATATTTTTTAGTAGTAATAAATGTAGAGGTATCTGTTGATTTTGATGTGCAATTCCCAATTCCTTTTTTATTGGTGAAATTATGCGGTGAAATGATATTACATGTTTGTGCTACTAAAACTCATTATTAAGCGCAGTATTTCTCCCCTGTAACATAACAAGTGTCGTTTTAAATTTTAGTTTTCCAATGAATTTTGAAATTAATAGGATCTATGTTTATTTAACTCAAACTGACGAGGACATATGAAGATTATTGTTGATGTTATGGTAATAACTTATGTGTGAATGTGTGTGTTATCTTTCTTAGAAGTTTACCGCTATTGCTTAATCTCACCTAATCATATCTATTTTATTATGTCTTAACATATTTTTTAATCCTGTACGTTTAGCTAATTCAAAGAAGTAATTGAAATTTTTGGAGGATGAATTAAGTAATTTTAGAACAAAGTGGGATGAGATCCGAAAAAAGAATGAGTAACAAGCGATATTGTCAACTATCTTTGTGTATGAAACTAATAGTGTTCAGCTCTGCTACATATAGGGTTACATGTCTTAGTTCTAAAATGCTTTTGTATTGGATGGTAATACTATGTTCAGGTATCTGCTGATTGTGGTGTGGAATTCCCTGTTTCTCATTGAATTTTTGAAACTATGCAGTGAAATGACACATAAATAATTTACAAGGTTTATATGAACAATTAACGTAGGGCAATGTTAGGTTTCATGTGTGTGCACACAGATATAAATATAATGCATAATCTAAGATCAAATTGATATAATTTCATTGTCCTTTTTACATTTGTAGAACTATACAACCAATTAAAGATTCCCACAAATGGCAAGAGATAATTGCTAAGTTTGGTTTAACAAATATCTGATCCTGACAGTGAAGACTGAATGGTGATTTTACATACAGGGAACGTTTTACCACACTCTGCTTAGAATTTCAGAGGGACAGTGGCAAGGGTAAAAATGATGAGCTGGTAAACTTGTTGTTTGAGAAGGAGAGTCTTGAAAATGAAGTTCGTATGTTGGATGAAAAAATTAACACAATGAAAAATGTGATGCTGGCATTTGAGGAAGAAATCGTTGAAGATCTTCACAAGTCCAATTTTGGTAATTTATTCAGCAAACTTTCATCTTTTAATCAGAAGAGATGATGACATTATTAGAAAAAAACTAATGATGGCATTAAAACGGATTATATGAATCCTTGGCTTCTGAGGTACAATGTTTTGTTAAGTACTGTCTGATGGATGAGGCAAAATAATAAAGTAAATAAAAATATTAATGTCACTTCGGGGCCTTGGGCATTTAATCACTGCACATGACTTTGTTTTTGTATGTATTTCCATAAAACCAATGATACGGTTCTCATCAAAAGGTGTAATTATTTTGGATGAGTTAGAAGAAGGGTATGGAATTTGCATACATAGAATGGTTAACAACAGATAATTTTGTGTTACACGTACGAGAAGTTCTAAATGTTGTTGATTTCAGAAAAAGTTTGTCATGACCTAAATCGTTGGATAATCAACTCTTACCAATATTTATCAACTCTTACCAATATTATCTATATTTTTATACGCAAAATTTTTAGATAATTAGCATGTAGATGCTGCCTGTAGTTTGATACTACATAAGCCATGTAAATGCAAACTCTTCATGTCATTTCTATGCAAAATTTGTACTTTTTCATGGGTCAACTTGGTAGAGCTTTAAATGAATTTTCATACTCATTCTCTGTAGTGCACGCATTATGGATATCCGTTCATGGTAAGAGTAAATAAAGTTTTTCCATTGGTAGGTATCAGGAGTGTCAATCTTGCTAGAGATTTTTATGGTCTTTAATATTCTTGTGGCATTTGTACTGTAGACAGTTACATATCAAACATTAAATATCAGGCTGTTAAATTAGTTTATGGTTTTTCAATTTTCTTGTGGCACTTATACTGTAGATAGTTAGATATCAAACGTCAAGGGTCAGGCCGTTAACCAAGTTTACAATCTTTCAGAATTCTTGTGGCACATACTTGTTGGGTATTAGATATGAAACATAAAGTTCAGGCCATTAAACTTGTGAATGTTACCAGGATTTTTTGCCAAATCTGTTTTTAACCCCATATTGCTATCTGCAGCTCTGCATTTTGAGATACAAAAAGATAAACAAGAGAATGAGAAATTACTGAAGGATATTGGAAATTTGAGGAGTGTGTTGGTTCAGTATTATGATTCATCATGATTACAGTAAGTTCATTTTCTTCGTTTGGATAATTTTATCATAGTTGTTTAAATATATCTTCAGTACATGTAGAGTAATACTGCACAAATTTCTCAGAATATTGCTTAGTGCATGACCTACTTAATAGGATATTGGTTGAGAATTAGGCCAATCTCTTATTCGCTTTAAATCTTGTCCCAATTTTTTTATCTCGAGTGATGTGTTTCCTCTGCAGTGTTGTCTATATCACTTATCACATTATAAATTTATAATATATTAATAAGTTTCATTTAAGATGAAAATTTTATAATAAAACCATATAAATACATTATCTCCTTGTGTTGCTATAATTTCATTCGTTGATGGAAGAATGTTCACTTCTTGGTGTGCATCTTTCTTTGGTAATAAAATTATCTACTTCTGAAGAGAAAAAAAAAATGTTAGTTGTATGATGTGCTCTTAGATATCTATAATAAGACAACATTTTTTAGTGTATTTAAATTTTAAAACCTCGATTTTGAATCTCATCATACAATCTCTGAGCTTTCGTATTGTTGGCTAAAGGGATCAGTGGGACTGAGGTGATATTAGTAATGCTCCATGTGCAAGGTTCTACTTGCTTTAATAATGGCAGATACTACATCTTTAAATTCTTATCCTAAATTGTGTCTTCACCTTTTGCGACTAAAGTATAATGAATAGCTGTGCAGTATGCACTGTTACACTTTTGCCGAGCGCTGCCTTCCGGACATTTGGTGATAAAAACTAATTAAAGTTTAAGCATGTTACAAGTAGCAAGGCCATCATCAATGGCTTTCAATACTGATTTTGACTGAATAATGAACTTACCTTGCAATATCTACAGTGCTGCATCAAATATTTGTTTTCAGGCATTCACTGAGCCTATTTGCCATGATTACTTGTTGCAGTAACAAAGCTTGAACATGCAGTCCTTCAAATTAAAGCTGGACCACTTCTGTTCAGATTTTTTCTTCATACATAGACAGATAGACCTGGAGCTATCAAGGTAATAAGCTTTTGCAGTGATTCAGAGTCTGTTATTATATACAGTACTTAGCTTTTTGTTATTGTGTCACATGGGGAGAGAGACGGGTCATTGGTCAAACTTTTGACTTCCAAGAATTATTGCATTGCATTAACATCATGTATTTGAACTTAAGCAAAGAAAAAAGAGTCACTGTATCTCTTTTAATTGCACTTTGAAAATATTTTTATCAGTTATTCAGCTTTGTCAGTCTTGGTTTGGGATTTGCATCCGTGCCTCACTGATAGTTTTGGTACATTCTCATCTCACCCAAGTGTGTCTTGGATCTTTCATTTCCAGGTAGGGATCGGAAATTGGTTATTGTTTGGTTGCACACTCACCAATGAGTGCGATACTGGTTTCTTCCCAGTCTAAGAGTGGAAAACTGGTAGGTAAACATCTCACCAAATTTAAAGTTGAAGGCCCGTTAGGTTCGTGAATAAACTTGCATGTTACATTTACCGGGTAACATTATGAAGTAGATTATCTTTTGCATTATAGTCATCATCACTATGAATTACATAGGGGTTTATTTCATATACTCTTACAAAATTGCTTAATTTGAGCGCATTCAAGCTTTTAGGAAACCATAAAACACAGTTCCTACAATTATTAAGAAAACCCTCGTAAATTATTAAAAACCTTGTCTCAAAGTTTTTTTTTTAAAATAATTATAGGGTTTTTTAATTTTTTATTTTTATGGTTTTGTGTTTTAAATTAAACAATCCCGCCAAAGGTATATATGAAATAAACCCATTAATGTTAGATCATCAAATTCAAATCAACCACCCATCAAAGATGTGAAAAATTAAATTAAAATTTTAACAACATATCTCAACCCATATCCGATTCTTTATAGTTGATGAAATGTAACATTACTGGTACAGTAACTTAGCTATTGTGGTCAAAACTTAAAGGTTAAATAATTTGCAAAGGTTGGTCATGTCATTACAGAGAATCACACAGTCCGAATTGACAGATCGAGTCGAATAAGGTTAATTAGATAGGTGAGTAAAAGAAAGGGATGGGAAAGTGGCCTGACCGTCATAGAAAAAAACCCAACACAATTAGCGGTGAATGTATAACAAATAGGGAAATTGTGGTTCAAAACCATATCTAAAACTAGGTTGTCTTCCATGTCACAGACACTCACCATATCTGTCTCGTGAATATCACGTGTACCCGTGATCATGACCGTACCATACAGCTATGTCTTTTCTGTTGTTGTGTGTGCATTGAATAAACAAGCTCAAGATCTTTTCTTATGACCAGAAAAAAGAGTGTTTGAAAATAAATACTCGGTTTGGGGGGCCTGTGTTTCATGATAGAGGTCTTTAATTCAAGTTTTTTGCCCCACATATTACACCGGAAAATGAAGACATGTGAAGCTCACAAGGGGAGCTTTACTTCAATTATAACTACAGATTAAGATTTGTGTCAAAACATACTCGTTGTATTTAATAAAAAAAATATATCTATGGATATTTATTCTATACTTGTACAGATACACTTATCACGCAGATATTTATCAAGAAAAAATATCTGAATTTCCAAAATTGGAGTTTTATCTTTATTAATTAGATAGGAGTTGTGTTGGGTTAGTTGTTGGTATAATAAGTGTCTTACTCAATGTTTAATAAACTACACTAAAAGTAAAATTCTTTTTGCCGGAAAATTCAATATGTACAAGTGTCATTGGAAGAATTAGTAAATTTGATTGATGAAGAGAGAAAAAAAATCATTTTGTATTTTAATAAAGCTTATTTTGGAATATTTATAGCATCTTTTTTATATAAATTCTTTTATTCATTTTTAAAAATACAAATTTAATAGACAAAATAATCAATTTTCTTTATAAATAGTTATATTGAAAATGACCCTTTGTGGTCGGATGACGATTCTTTTAATCACTGAAGTTAGCTATATCCGAGGATCTTGTGTTCAAGTCGTAAGAGAAGTATCTATTATATTTATGTAATTACTTTGATTAATTGAACTTATAGAGTGTTTCATAACCTTGAGTATTAGGCGCCTCAATACCTCAATTGCCATATATATATATATATGCAATATCTCAACTGCTGCTTGATAAATGAGAAATCTTTTAGGTATTAAACTTTAACTCATCAAATCTTATTCACACATATGTAAGATTCTTTTAGGTGAGAAACTAATTAAAGTGAAACTCTTAATAGCCAAAAACCAAAAAAAAAAAAAAAAAAAAATTAATAAAGTATGGATAGTTAGTGTTGTACTTAGTTTAAATCAAGGGGTATGGGTCATATGTATATATATATCTTATCAGTCAAGCGGTAAGCTGCCTTGTAGATGAAGAGGCAAAACAGATTCATGCATCTTTTGACGTTTGAGAGTATAATCTGTGTGCAAGCGTGTGCCATCATCCATCAATAATAGCCTAATAGGCCGTGTGGAAAAAGATAGTCCTTTCTGAGATGAAAAGACGATGGTTTTTGATGCAAGCAATCAATAGGGACACGCGTGACAAGAAGTTGATTGGTGAATTTTTACGCTTCAATGAGTCAATTATTTTAAAAGCATGAAAGAATCTTTCTTGAAAGTAAATATGATAACCACAAAAAAAAGTAAAGATTATGATAATATAACTTTTAGACAAACTGAAATTCATGAACAAGTTATCCTTGTAGTTGGATAACAAACCTTTTAATTATTAGGATTAGTTATATTGATGGGATTTTATGTTCGAGTTGTAGGAAAGATACTTATCATATTTATGTAATTATTTTTGTTAATTGGGCTTGTAGAGTGTTCTATAACCTTGAAGATTAGGTAGAAATAAGATTCAATATAGGTTTAGATATCTCAGATATATAAAAAAAAATTATAAACGTGTTTAAAATTAAAAGCCTTTAAATTTAAAGGAAAAAAAGAAAAAGAAAAAGAAAGCGGAAAGTAAATTGAAATATGTGTTTATATATATAACCTCTTTATAGTCATAATGTTGGGGCTAATAAATTTATTACTATAAGAAGGTTATAATTTAATAGAGGTATAGGTTTCGTTTGGCTCAAGTTTGGGAATACTACTTTTAGTATTCCCAATAAAGTTAAATAGTAAAATGCCCAAAAACTCACAATATTATCCAATATTATTTAACTTTTTTTAAACCCCCTAAATTTGTTAATTTAATTAAATACCTCTAAATATTATTTTTCGAAATTGCAAAAACAACCTTAAACCCACATTATACCAGATTCCGGCCACCACTGCCAGAATCTGGTAGGATGGCACACTACTGGCTGGATCTTGCCGGTAGTGCGTCGATCTAGCTTTTCTAGTCAGATCCACGGTGGATCTGGCCGGAAAAGGTCAAATCTAAGGCCAAAGATCTGGCCGTTGATGGCCAGATCTTTGGTCGTAACCAGTCGTCAACGACGGCCAACATATGGTCGTATCTTTGGTCGTCGTTGACGAAGATTTACGGCCAGATCTGGTCGTCAATGGCTAGATCTAGCCGTAGATCTGGCCTTTGTCGGCCAGATCTACCGTGGATCTGGCAGCAAAAGGTCATATCGGCGCATAATCGACAAGATCCAGCCGGTCATGCGCCGATACGGCGACTCCGGTGGTGGTGGTCGACTGTCCTTATTTAATGGATGGGTTGGGGGTGTTTTTGTTAACTTTTAATGTTTTATTATAAGGGTGTTTTGTAAAAAAACAAATATAGGGGGTATTTTAGCAATTTATAAATCCTACATCATAATACTTGCCCAATTCAACTTTTTTCAAAAAACTTTTCCCAAAAACGTAAAAATGTGAACCAAACGGAGCCATAGTTACCAGAATTATTGTTTTGATTTCTTATTTTATAATTCATGTTTTATTAGTATTAGGATAGCAGAGAATTGGATATCAAAGAATCATTGTAAAATTGAATGATCGGATTCGACAACTTCACTACCTTAATCAAATGGATATTACTGTTTTACTCAATTATCTAATGAGCAACAAGTCGTGTATGTTTTAACTGAAGAAGAAACCATTACTTGAATTAGACAAGAAAAGGAAGAAGATAATCATGAAGATGATAGTACGAAAATACCAAAAATTTCATGCCAAGAAGCTCTCAACATGCTTGAGAGCTAGAAATATTTTGGTTTCAACAAAAATATGTTTATGCTAGCGGCTTATTATGTATTTGCAAGATAAAAGATATGGTAATAATTTTAAAGCATAAATCATTGTTTCAAACAATTTTAGATAAATATTTTATTTCATCTTAAACTTTTAATGTAACATATATTTTTTATAATATATATATAATTATTACTATGTAGAGGCAAGTTTTTTACGATGAGATTTAAAAAAATTATAACTTATTATAATGTGAAATTTATTTTTATTTATAACTAATCCAAGTTGAAATTAGAATTTTTTAATCAATATATATATATAAGGCTTGATTGACAAGAAATAATAAAGTAAATTTGTTGATTTAGTCTAATAAATGTAGGTATTAACTAGTTGAACTATATATATGTAAAAGGCTTGATTGACAAGAAATAATAAAGTAAATTCGTTGATTTAGTCTAATAAATGTAGGTATTAACTTCTTAAGATTGTATAAGAGGTTTTCAAATACAATCATTTTCACCCTGGGTTTATTTTAAAATTTCAAATTAATAAAAATTTTGGTTTAGTATGTTATTTCTTAGGAATAATATAGTTCTCATATCGACTTCAAAGGATTTTAAAATAATTATGATGGTTATATGATTAGGATGGAGTATGGTGAAATAAAAAAAAATTAGTTTTCTGAGTTTTGACTGTTTATAATTGGGAAAAAGGACCGAAAGATGATCAGTAAAATCTGAAGAATAGAATAATAAATTCTTTAACATATGAAAAGCAAGAATTTAGAAGAGGATAATAAACCAAGACAGTTGGTGACAAAACCCAAAGAAATTAGTCAAACAAAGTTGGACGATTCAAGGATTAGATGATGGTTCAAAGATTCTAGCAGAAGAGTCGACGCACATGGTTTTTTGTCTACAACCACATTGATTGACAGCCCACTTAATTCAATCTCAGATGTAGTCCACTTCAAGATTTAACCACCACATTTAATGAAAGATAGATGTGATTACTTCTTAGTGTGATAGTGCTCTTTGTTATAATTTCCTTTGCCTAGTAAAGCATTGATAATTTGCCCTTAATAGTAAGGATAATTGTGTTTAATATTACAAATTTGATTGTTTATATATTTAATGTAAACTTGTATGTCATAGCCCCATAGGTAACTAAAAGGGCCAAAAATTAATCTACCCTTGTGAGAGAGAGATTGTTTGGTATGAAACATACTCCGTCTAATCTAATACGAGAATATATTGCTTGCCAGTGACCTGGGACACAAAGTGCAGTGCCTGCTGAGAATAGGGGACATTACATATCCCTTTGGTGAGAACCATATTTGGTCCTTTATTGAGTTATTGGGCCCATAGGAGCCTGGACCATTCCCTACCTCTCCCAGTTTCCCTATAAGAACTCCCCTTCTTCTTGCTCTTTTCATGCTTTTCAATCATTATCCATTCCAAGCTGAACCTCACAACCCACACCCACACCCCAAAAATGATCCACCATTCACAAAATAGCAGAGAGAGCATCAAAGTTCATTGATATCTACAAGCCAAGAATAGGGAAAGCAAAAAAAAAAAAAAAAAAAAAAAATTGGAGAAGTGATGGAGATGAAAAGTTCTAACATTAGTGAGTCTAAGAGGAAGTTTTCATGTAAAGGTCTAGGTGGGTTCCTTAAAGAACAAAGAGGTAGGCTATACATAATAAGAAGATGTATTGTTATGCTTCTATGCTGGCATGATTAGACTGCTGGTTTGGTTTTGGACTACTGCTTCTCTTCTTCACCTGCAACTTACTGGAAGCTACTTCTTGTTTTCCTTCTTTTTATGTTTCCTTTTATTCTCTCTTTTTTTTTTTTTTTTTGAAGTTTGTAACTTTGTATAGCAAGAATATGATGATCTCTTTGTTTCTTTGTCTTCCTTCTGCTCCATGCTCCTTGGTTTCATCCACCATTCTTCTACTGTGCTCCTCTTGAATTTATATGGTCAATTTTCATTTATTGTCTGAATCTAGATTAGTTTAATTTAATTTTCTTTGTTGAAGATTAAAGCCTCTGAAAATTCAATACTCTTCCTCATCTTTGGGCTCAACAACTTGTAAAAAATGTCAAAAAGCTTAAGAACTTCTGATAACATATACCTTCTTTTATTGATCCATATGTTAGAGAACTGTTTGATCTATAAATCCAATATCTATTGCCCTCTCTTCTTTCTTTTAGCTTCTTGTGCTCATATGGAAACAGATAGCTTACTAGTTTTCTCTTAGTGGTCTCATCTTCTTCAATGTTGGTATGTTTAATGAAAGCACCATCATCATGTAGATGTAATGTAGAAACAATTTAGAGTTATTTTTGCAATTAATACATAAATTAAATTTCACATGTGTTTATAGATGACTTCATATATTTCTTTTGTCTATTTTTTTTTTTATTCGAGCATTTCATGCATGCCATTGGCACTAGTAGGCTCAAGTGGTGGATAATAACTGACTCTGAACCAAATGGGGTTGAAAGCTGTATTGTCCACAGGCAATAATACAAGGCTAAGATCAGCCATTAAAAAGAAACTTCAAGATTTTTTTTTTTTTTTTTTTTGTGTGATAGATATATCATGGATTTTTGGATTAATTATTATAAATGGAAAATGGATCAAGTAAAACTTATACATTTTTCTTAATTTAAGGTTTATAGCGTAAGCAATATTATCACTCGAGAGAGATGAAATAATGGAATGTTCAAATTAATCGAGTACAAAATTAGTTGATGCTTCATGGTCAATCAAGCTAAGCTTTTTGGGTATTGTAAAATTTAAACATTTTAACTATCTTGTGAAATTTGATTGAAAAGCACAAATATGTTTAAGGGATATTAAGAAAATTATAATCAGGCTCAGAAATTTTCATTAATCCCCAACTTTTGTTAGATTTTATTGGTTCAAATCAAAATGTGTTAAATGCCTCTCTTGATTTTATAAGATTTTTGTTCTTTGAGAAGCTCTCAAAATTTCATAGAAATTTTTCAATATTATTCCGAATCGATAGTTTTAATAGGAAAAGTGTACCTAAATTATTTTTAAAGTAGGGGGGGCCCTAGCAAAATTAATTACATCAAACAGGAAGAGACGTGATGAAATTGTATCATTATATATGTCAATTTTAAAGTAAACCAATTATAAATGTGAACGTCAGAGTTAGATTTGAAAGTATTTAAGGGTGCGTTTGATTTATTATTTTGGATAGAATTTTAAGAATAATATCGGATAGTTGAATAAGGGAGTATTATAAGGTAAAATTTAAAAATTTATAAAAAACCTCTAGGTTTGCTAATTTAATTAAACACTTCAATATATAAAATAATAAAAACACCTCTATCACCCGCAGTGCCAGATTCTAGCCAACACTATTGAAATATGGTCAGAAAATTGCGTTATGACACAGACTAGTCAGATCTGTGTCGTAATGTGTCGCCAGTCGATGACTGCAAAGGTCCATCTTTGGTCGTCGTTAACCATCAACGACGATTAGATCTAGTCGAAAAAAGCCAGATCAGTGAATAACCAGCCAGTTCTGGGCTGGTGTAAGTCATTGTGATAGATTCCGGCTACCACCAATGGTGGTTGCCGGAATCCGGCAAGTATGGGTGGGTGGGGGTATTTTTGCTAATTTTTAAACTTTTTTGGGGTATTTAGTAAAATTAATAAACCTAAGGGGTCTAAAAGTAATTAAAAAATACACTAATATTTCTGGAATAATGTACCAAACAATATTTGGAGAATAGGATTGGAAATATAGGTAGAAATATTGAACCAAACACACCCTAAGATTTTATCTAAGCATCCTAATTTTGAAATGGACAAAATAATATCAAACCTGAATCCATATTTGATTTAAGTAAGTTAATTGTTTAACTCTAAAATAAGATTTATATTAAACACATTATTATTTTTTTGAGAAATGAAGAAACTTTAGATTAGATTTTTAACTTATAAGATAAGAATGTCCAATGAACTTTTGAAGTATATTTTTACTTTTTAGGATTGAAATAATTATCCTCTCCCTTATAATACTGTACTCTCTTTTTTTCCCCCCTCATTTTTGGGTCTTCAAATCCGGCTCCTAAATGAACAGAATCCCTCACAAATAATTTAGAATAAAAAAAAAAAATATATAATAGAAATGATTGAAAAGAAAGAAAATGTAAAAGCCATAACTAAAGAATAGTAATGGGTCATGCAATCTTGAAACACCTGTACATAAATCACATGTATGGTTATAGATTTGTCTAAAAATAAAACAAGAAGCATGCCCTCATGTTTTGGTTCACTTTTTCCATAAATATGTGTTGTATGTATAACGGAATAAGTTAAAAATGGCCAAGAAATTTTTGGAAAGAAAGATTTGCTATCTCTTACACTCTGCCTGGGCATCTCCAACCCAGCACCATCACCAAAATGGTGTAAAATTTTTGCTCTAATCCAACACCAAAAACCAGACCAATTGATGTAAATGAATAATATCACACCAAATTTATTGCAATACTATTCATCCACATCAATTTATAATGATACTATTCATCTACTACAAAATATATTTTATTTTCTTTATTTTTGTTATTTAATTTTTTTTAATTTGAATTTATATTAATTTGATTATTATTTATATTAATATAAATACTAATAAATTCATAATAATTATATAATTCAAAAAATGATGAAAAATTAAAAACAAAACTTCATTCAATGCAAATACTAAACTATAATTACTCAAAATAAATTAACACTAGTTTAAACAAATTAAAAGAAAATACAACATAAACTAAAATAATAATTTATGATTCCAGTAGATTAGTTCCGGGTCTTTTAAGATCATCAAAATATTAAATAGAACTAGAATTATTTTGAGATTTTTGACCTTGTTGTTAATCTCTTTTTTGTATAATTTTTTATTGCTCATTTTGAAAAAAATCAAGCAGGCCCGAGTTGATTATGGAATTCAAATTCTTAAATAAAATCCTGTTATCTTGATATTCTGCCAAAACCAATTTTTCATTTGGAAATTTACTTTTGTGTTGTTTTTTTTTTTTTTTTTTTTTTTTGGTGGCATTTTAAATTAGATGTAATGTTTTTATATTAAATGTAATGTTTAATTTTATTAAATTAGTATAATTAACAAAGTTGTTATTAGTTAATAAAAATATCATTCATAATAGTTAATTAATATAAAAATACTAATTAGTGAAATATATTAATTATTGATTATTAATAGAAATTAAAAAAAATTATTTTGTAATATTTAGTGCAATGGGTTGGAGATGCAATAGTGAATTACACCAAAAGTCACACCAATTTGGTATAAAAGTTATACTAATTTGATGTTTGTGGTTGGTGATAGTCTACCGTATATTATTTTGTTGTTGAAAGCCATTCTTTCAATTCTTTTTTTTTAATTAAATTAGAGTTGGTTATAAGGACTCATTTTTTAAATGAAAAAGATGTGTTGATTAAAAATTAAAAAAAAGAATATATATATGAAGATTAGGCTCCATTTGGTATACTTTTTAAAATACTATTCTAATTTTCCCAATAAAATTAAACAAAAAAATGCATTTGTATCAATATTCTCAAAATCTTATTTTACTTTATTCATCTCATAAAATATTAATAATTACCTTTTTTTATAAAGATAATCTAATTTTACTTTTCTTAAAATACTATTCTAAAAATCATCTAATAATGAACCGAATGAAGCCTAATTATTTTTAAACTCTCTTACATAATTGCGTACTAAAAATTGAAATCACCATCGGGCCTTATACTTGATGCTTAATTGCTTATTATGATTGTACATTGAGGACCTTCATGTCCTTGATAATATGTTCTTGTTTCTTAGTGTGAGCAGAAAAAGCAGAATTTAATTAACCAAACAGAATGTTACCGCCCCCACGTGGCAAATCTAATCCTTTACCCCACCGTTTTTTTGACTCTTATCTTCAATCAATCAAACAAATCCCAATCACATCCTTGCCCTTGGCCTCACCCTCCTACTCTGTCAGCCCATGCTTGTCAGCATTGTCATTTTCTCTCTTGTGCCATCATAGCCTTGGAGACTTGTACCTAACGATAAGGAATTCAAAGAAATTAGTTTAACGTTTGTTGTGACTCAACTCATCGTTATCTTAAACAATGTTTGGTTTACAAAAGATATTACTTCATTTTTACATCAATGTGATTTGATAATGGTTTTTTAGGCTTTGACAATGCAATACTGTATAATTCACTTTTAAGGAAAGATGTTATATATATATATAATCAATGTAATAGATACATATATATTTGATTAACGAGAAAGAGAAAATTAATATAATGTTAATGAAGATATTTAGATGTACATAAAATATGTTTTATAATAATAAAATTATAAAGCATGATATGCAACTTGTTCAATCGATTATCAATAGTTCATTATCTCATTAAATTGAAAAAATATTTTATAAATAAGAATTAAACTATGGTTAAGTATAGTCCTAATATAATCAATATAAAGTAATTTTCTAGTATAGACATCCTTTTGTAAAATTTGTTAGGACAATGTTTAAATGTCATTTTTTGATTCATTATCATTAGACTAAAACTATATTTTACAGCTAAATCTTATGGTATTTAAACATGGTTCTCTCAAAATATACATAAGAATGTCTTTATTATATTTATAAAGACAAAAATGCCCTTGAATTAAACAAATAAAACTTACACTTCACTTGCAAGTTAACAACTCAATTATCTCCTTTCCTCCTCTTTATTTTCATTCAAATATTAACTCCATATTCATTTGATAAGCACACACCATGAATAGTAAGCAATTATGTGTAAGGTTAAACTAGTAAAATCATAATAAATATTAATGCCAAAAATAGTATCAATGTAATGTTGGTAGTAAACATTTTTGATAGTTGATACTATAGTTAAGGATAATGTCTTTTTCATTAATAATTTGATTTTAGAGATTTGGTTCATGGGAGGGACCATTTTTTATAGTAGTGTTGAACCTAGGGGTGTAATCTGAGCCGAGCCTAAATTGGGTTCAAGCTCAACATTTGAAGCTCGGTTGAGCTCTAACTGTTCTAGCCGAGCTCGAGCTTCCCAATTCTCGGCTCGGCTTGATTACACTCCTAGTTGAACCACAAGCAAAATTTAGGGGTGAAATGAGTTGGATTGGGCTTCTTTTGAAGTTCAGTAGTTAACAGAAACCCAAATACTATTTGATCGTCAATCAAACCCATTAAAATGGATCAACATTGGACCAAACCCAATTGAGCAAACTTGGGCCTAGAGTTATC